AAGTTAAAGGAGGAAAGTACTGTTGTTAGGTCTGTTTAGGATTTTTGCTTTCCTGTATATCCTGCAGCCTTGCTGGGTTGTTTTTTTTTCCTGTTGTCAGTTGGCTTCTGTTTCTCAAGACCTCAGAGACTGACTAGTCAAGTGGTGACACTGCCCCATGTACCACTGGATGGGACGTTTTAGGAGCTGACAGCGCACACTTCATTATTCTACATATGCTCACTGTGCTTATTCTTATTTTGTGCTGGGACCCAATTGCACTTGTGCAGCTGAAGAGGGAACAAAACCAGTCTTTTCCTCCCCATTTATAAGTGCCATAAGCCCCATGTGCTCACGGCAGGATGAGCAAGAAACAGCTGTGTTGTTTGGCCCAGCAATGCATACTTCAGCCTCACCTGAAACCAGCTGCAGCGTGATCATATAGGAATAGCATGTTATCTCCCTGCAAAGTAGCCTCCCTGGAGTAGCCACATCCTCTGGCTTTGACAAACACATGCTCAAGTCAGGAGTGGTGCTTTGAGAGTGCCTACAGCACATGTGGACATCATCTGCCAATATTAGCTTGCATCATGCCTGTTTTCAGAAAGGAAGAATTTAATGTGCATTATCCTGTTGCAGATACCTATAGTTCAGTGGTTTACTCAGCTTTTGCCTATTTCTCATTTTTTATTTTTGTGTATGAAGAAACGTTCATCCACCTTGTATCTAGTGCAAATAAGTGAAGATTGTTGAAAAGTTACTATCATTTGGGAACATTTTTGCATGTGGTTAAAGGCTGTTAGCTTTGTGTAATGCTGTGGGTACACACTTCCCCTTGCCATCTTGAGACTTCTTTCTATTTAGATTTCACTTGGTGGAAATTCATCTATTGTTAGCTGTGTCCTGAAACAATCCTCTCAGTGTGCATATCGGGAATTCTGGCCCATCTTGTCATGTTCCACTAGCAAACAGAAACCAGTACAAGGTTTGATTATCTTATTCCCCTCCTCTCTACCGTGCTAAGCACAAAATGTAGCAAGCGCTTCAGAAGGGAGAGAAAGTAAAATCGAAAAGCAGAAAGAACTCTTTTGTATTAGATGAGACTTTGCTGTTACACATCTTTGTACCTAAGAGGGAAAAAAAATGCATGCTTTGGGTTAAAGTCTTCTCCTTTATTCTTCTAACAAGACATGTAAAGCCACTTACAATGAATTTCTAGCAAGTACCAAGCTGAATGCAGTTTGAGTAATAATCCTTATTAACATGGTTTTCATTCTTTCCACATAAGAAAAAATGCATGCTCTAGTATGCGTCTAAATTATTAACATATATATTACTAATATATCTCATTGCATTGAATCCAGAACCTGAAAGGATAGTATGTATTTGAGGACTATAATACAGATGATCTAAGCTCGGCCAATAAACAGAATTCCAGTGAAAGTACTTCACCGAGGTACCAGGGCCCACTTAGGTACCTACAGCTAATTTCGAAGTCGTTCTCTCCTGGTTACATGAAATGTGACCAGTTGTTTATGGCAAGATATTTAACAGTATGTACTAGGATTTTTATGTAAAACTGACAGTTTTGGTGTCCAAACATGACAGTCTCTCCTAGAGTAATTTGTATTAAAACAAAATCGAACCCTCCTGCATCTAACCAACCACCAGCACAAAAAAAAAGAGGCTGCCAAGTAACAGTTTATAAATCTGATCCAAAAGCTTCCGCAAGGCTACAGATTTGGTGCCCGAGTACAAATTTTGAATTTCCTAAACTTTAAGGTCTTTAACGCTTTAAAGGAAATTCTTCATATTTGTTGGGAGGGGTGAGGGGGGTTAAAGGCAATACATGCATGGCTTTTGAAAGTAAATAATGATCTGAACTTCAGTTATCTGTGAATATAGTCTTAGATTCAATGTCCTTACTAATTCCACCTTTGAATAAGAGGAGTCAGTTCTCAGCTGCAGTATGTAAAATCCCATCAGTTCTATATATTTCAGGTTATTTTCACATCACAGATATTAACAGGGCACTGTTTAGGCAAATATTTAAGTGTATGCTGAAGTCTAAGCATATGCTAATATCCTGATTATCCACTGAATCCTGTATGATTTTTTCTATCAAACACATGCTGAAGCATGTTGTTGGATCGAGGTTACTCTAAGGTATATAAATCTATTTCTATTAATTACTTCAGAGTTCAATCTAGCAGCAACTCTTTTACAGACAGTTAATAGAAAAGTCATATCAACAACCTGAAAATCATGTTCCTTTACCACCATGCCTTAGGTAGAGAGATATTTAACATTTTCTAGCAACAAAAAACCTGAAACAACGATGATACCAAAAAAATAAGTATCCTTTTCCTATCATATTTTGTCCACAGACCTAGTGAAACCACTTTCAAAACCAGCCTGTTTACTGAATGGTTAATAACGTATGAGAGAGAAATTATAAGCCTGTAGACACAGACTGGTCCTGGTTTTCAAAAAAAAAAGGCAGATTTGTGTCTCATTTGCCTTCCAAACATCCATGACGCCTGCTTGACTAACCCTCAGTCACAGCTGTGTAAACAACAAACTTTTAAGCTGCTGAACAGATAATGGGAGGAGAAACCAACACATCATACGTAAAAGGGGAATAAACAATGACATGATAAGATTGTCTCCCCTTTCTCCTGGGGCAGCTTCTGGTGTTCTTGCTCTGGTAAACAGCATGAAAACTGCCATACTTTTTCTCCTGTTGATGATTTGGCTTTGATTCAGTTAAACAGATGGCAAATGGCCAAGGAAAATGTATAATCTGGTGTCTCCCCTCTCACCTTGGAGTAACAGCTTTAGTTCAGTTGTGTTTCTGTGACACCATAGTCTTAACATAGCCCTTACCGGCTAGCAGTAGATACCACAAACTCACCCCACTTTATGAAATTCAGCACATTATGGAAAATTGTAATTATCTGATGAGGGGAGACCACAGACTAAACAAACAAATACGATATAAGCACTCAGCTGGGTGTTCCCTTTAATGTACAACTTAGTTACACTGGCTAAACACCAAAGGAAAGTTTGCCTTGTAGGGGACAAGATTGTACGGAGTTTGAATAGAGGTATCTTGCCAGCTCCTCAACCTCCCTAAAGAGAAACAGTCATTTTTCTGAAGAAAACAGAAAAAAATCCAATTGTCTGTTTGGAATTAGAAGCCTAAAGAACTATTACTCACATCCATACTATTGAAGTGCAACAAGAAGCAATCCATACTGGCATTTTTAAACCTGCTTTTTTCAAAACAGATCTAATATTTGCATGCTTATTTGCATGCTCAGTAAAGTTGCCTTGCCCCATGTGCTTGGGACAATGGGGGTGGGCAGCATTTGTGGGACAATCATTATCTTCAAGATCCCACCTCACAACCATTATTTTTTAAGTGGATGTCGTGGTTTAAACCACGGCTGGTGGTGAGATGATGTAGGGGAAAGAGAGAATGAGGAGATCAATCTGTAACTGACTGTGAACAATCAATTGAGATAACCCACTACATTTGGACCAGCCGACCGATAACTCGCCCCCCCAGCCCGACCAAGCTCTGACCGATACCTCCTCCAACCCTGCAGTCTCCCAGCCCTTCCGGCTAACTCCCAGTTACATCCTGGGCATGACGTGCTGTGGTATGGAATACCTCTTTGGTCAGTTTGGGTCAGGTGTCCTGTCTCTGCTTCCTCCTGGCTCCCCCTCCTCCCTGGCAGAGCATGAGGCTCACAAAGTCCTTGGCCAAACCAAAACATCGCTTGTTATCAGCTCTGTTCCCGAGCTGAAAGTCAAAACACTGCACTACACCAGCTACCAAGAAGGGGAAAAATGACTGCTACTGCTGAACCCAGGACATTATATGGGATTAGAAATAAAACCATCCTGTAACTGGCATAAAGAGGCTGAGCTTGATCTCCAGGAGATGGAGGTGGGAAGATGATGTGGTGAACTAGGCTTTACCAGCTATACCGATACATTACGTGGGTCAGCCTTAAACTTTTTAATGGAAAGAACTGCAAGGCGAGCAGAGGTAGTCTGTACACCACAACTCTTTGGGTCTTACTAATCTTGTAACATTTTGAAATGCACTGTCACTCAGGCATAAAGTTTCAGTTCCTGCCTGGATGCATGCGTTACTTGCGAAATTTCTTGCGCTTGGTATATTATGTGAAAGCCTGAGCAGCAACGAATGAAACCTCAAACAATGGACTATCAGCCAACATGCAGTAAGTTCTAGTAGGTTTTTGTGAATTAAGGGTAATGAATTACACTAAGCATAATGAATTTCCCAGAATAAATAGGAAATAAAGTAATAGCCTCAAGATTTATCTATCTGAAGTTCCTGAAGAAAGTTTTGGGTATGATTAATAAATGTGAACATTTGTGATTTTAGAACTTGGTTACTTTATGGATGGCCATATTTTTTCACAAGTTTTTCATATTGCTCAAGTGTGAATAACAATTTTATGTGACAGTTCCTTCTTCTGAGCTCGACGAGAATTTTTGTGGAAGTACAAGGTTAGATAGACAGAGTTCTGCAAAACATAGAAGCTTTAACTAGGTATCTCTTTTGAAACTCACTTCTTGGTGTACTTTAGGACTGCATTGCTTTAGAAAGGTTTTTGACTATTAAAGGGGGGTTTTATTGAATCTATGGGAGAGACTATTTTGCCTCCAGTCCTTATAAATACTGTGAGAGGACCCACTCAACTACTGAAGGCAGAAAATCTGACTTCTTGGCTGGATGCCTATTTTAAAGTAAAGCCACAGAGTCAGTTAACTTGATATCTGCATTATATTCCTCTGCTTACTGTGGAGTCAGTTGCTTACTTTTGCAAAATCTATAAAGGGCCTTGTATTCAAGTGTGGAACATGTTTTTTTTTCCCAGAGAAATTAAAAGGGGCTGGAAACGTTCATTCTTTTGAAAATTGGACCTTTTCAGTTTTTGTCTTAGCTCCTTTATCTGTAAAGCGAGGTTGTAATGTTTGCTCACCTTTCTGAAGAGCTTCCAAACTCATATGTGAAAAGCAGTACATCGGTAGTTGGGTACTTTAGTTAGGTAGCTGAGCATGAAAGCAGGTACTTCATGCACTGCATAAAAATAAAAGGTGCAAATGTGAAGAATCCCTTTGCGGCCAAGCTGGACAGCAGGTCTGAAAAAGTCAAAGGAAGGTTATCAACTTCCATCATTCTTTATAAGAACAAAAGTTCAACCAAAATTCGTACTTAACCATTCTCTTCCCTACTTGACAATGCTGTTTTTCACTGTGGTGAAATTGAGGCACAGGGGCTGTTCTGATTCTGTAAAATTGATTCATTTCACGTCATCTTATGTGATTTATGTTTTTTTCTCACCTTTAGAACTCCCAGCAGAGCCTGATGAACATGAAGATGGAAAGAAGGAATGCTATTACAATCTGAACGATGCTAATTTCTGTGACAATGTGCTTACATCCAATGTAACCAAACAAGAATGCTGCTGTACCTTGGGTGCTGGCTGGGGTGATAACTGTGAAATCTTCCCATGCCCTGTCTTTGGAACTGGTAAGAGGAGGCCCTCTATCCCTTCAGTCTTTTGAAGTGTTGTGTTTATGTTAACAGTAATGTGCTTTGCCTTCAGAGAAGGCTTGCCCATTAAATCACACGTTCCGTAATATTTAGTCATGACTTAACCATGGGAGATTTCCACAGTGGAAAAGTTAGCAAGTTAATAGGAATAACTCATAGAATCATAGAATGGTTAAGGTCGGAAAAGACCTTAATATCATCTAGTTCCAACCCCCTGCCATGGGCAAGGATGCCTCAAACCTAGACCATGTCACCCAAGGCTCTGTCCAACCTGGCCTAAACACTGCTAGGGATGGAGCATTTACATACCTGGTGTAGATCCATTGCCTTCACTACAGTTACCCCAGGCATAAAAACAGCCTGTTTTTGAACAGCATTATCTCAACTGATTTTAAACAAAGTTGGATTCTCACAGAAACTTTTTCTAGATGCTGTAACATGTTAGATTTTTTTTCCCACAAGCCGGGAAACAAAGGTAAGCCTTACAATGGTTTTGAGTCTGCAGCTATTCCTTGTAATGTTGTTTTTACAGCACTAAGAATTACTGATGTATAAGATGACATTAGTTTTACATTTGCTACTTACTGAATAATTCAGTTAATCATGTTGTCTACAGACCATTGTTTAACCTCTGACTATTAAATTAGAAAAACAGAGCCATATGACATTTGTCACAAATATTAAAAACAGTGCTTGAAACATAAAGAGTGATGGCTGAAATTCAAAATCCATCTGGAAAAAATCACATAAGAGAGAACATGTGTAAAATTTTTGAGATTAAACACTAAAGATTATTATTCACACAAATGTATCATCAAGTTTAATTCCTGTTTTAACTATACTTTAGAACCAGTGAAACTGAAATAAAATGTATTATGAAAAGAGCCTCTGTGCTTGGATAGGCTTATTTGGTTTTGTAGTCTCCCAGACACTTTAAATAATTTTCCTTTGTAATCCACACCATGTTCTCCTGTTGCAGTCAATTAGTGTTTTTCCTGTATAAGGACTGAAGAATGTGGACAGGGGCTTGTATCTCAGTTGGGGTATGTCTAGATTGCAGCTTGCAGTATAGCTCAGAGAGGCTCATGCTAGCTTTAATTAAGATAATTTGGCTACTGGTATTGTTATAACTGCAGTGCACCATGAAACCAAGTAAGGAGTATATTCTCCTGCCAAGCAGCAAGAGAAACTAGTTTGCATGGAGCTGTGTGATGCTGTGGGTATCCTAGCTAGGTTTTTCAAACCTAGCTCTACCAACGGGGAGCAAGAGAAAGCCAGGCCATAGTGTCAGCTTCCCCTACTTAGCTAAAGGTGTGCATGATTTCCTGATAGATGTGAGTAAGGCAAAACATTGCCTCAGATTTCTCAAAATACCCTGAAACACATATGCAATACATACATATGTAACTTTTTCTTAATAACGTAATTTTTTTGCTTGCTTTCTCTCCTAGCTGAATTTAGTGATTTGTGTCCTGAAGGAAAAGGTTTCATTCCCACTGGAGAATCATCTTACGGGCTTCTTGCTCAGAATTACAAAGGTCAGTACTGACTTGTATTACATTTAGTTATTTCAGAAGTTCTGGTAGTTGACTAGAAATGTCAGCCAGCAATGTAAATATACTAATTCAAATTGTATTAGGTGACAAAAGCAGTTTATGGTATGAAGCATTACTGAAAATCATCCTCTGACAAATTGTTAAGAATGCCAATTATAGTCTTTGCAATATTCTGGTTTAATTGGTACTAAGTGCTATATACTGTGAGAGTAGCTGCTGACACCGCAAACCTCAAGTATTCATTTACATATGAATTGCAAAACCACCTTAAATTTGTAAATAAATGTATGAGGAGTTGGAAGAGAGAAAGAACTTCTGTTAAACATTAGACCTACAAGTTAGAATGGATATAAAAACTGAAGAGAAGTTCAACAATGATATTTTCATTACAGACCTTCATGAAATAGTTGAACAAAAAGGCTGTAGAGAAATATGAGTGATAGGAGTTAGTGGGTGTAAGCAGGAGGGAGCTAAGAAGGAAGAATGAGATTAGTGAAATTCCTTTTCAAGTTTGAGAAGTACCTGTCAATATGAATAATTTGTGAGATTAATTTTCCTTGGCATAAATACATGGTATTTGTGTTAGCTAAAATAAAGTCAACATTTTATCTTTGGATTACTTAGCAGCTACAGGATCTTTAGAAAAGCACGGGTGTTAATGTATCTGTTCCTGTTGGAATTGCTGTTTTACAAGTCAAGGAGTAAATGTAGAAAGTACTCTGTTCATATCACATAAAAAGACGTTAATAGAGCCATAGTATCAGCTGGTTGATAGATAAGCATTTCTCAGAGTTGCTTCTAGCTAAATCACTTAATCTGTCAGACCTAATCCTGAGAGATAGCAAAAACTGGTGGGACTTGAAAGGTTTTGGGTTTCTTTCCTAGCAATTGTTATGTGTCTTTTTTGAACTACCTTTCCTCACTGAGGACACTACAAGGTCAGTTTTCCTTTCGAGTTCGTGACTAGAACATGTTTCAGTTCAGTTCTCTTAGTAATTTTTTTTGTGTTATCCTCAGGAGGTGTTTCTTTGCACCTGTAAAGTGCATGGGACGTGGAAAAGATACTAAAGGTTATAAGGCACCAATAACCAGATTCATTCAAATTAATGTGGGCATTTAAATGGGGTAACTCATGTAAGACCTCTACTCTCTGGAGGTGTTGCTTTGTCCACCAACCTGCAGTAAAGAACAAAGTGCCATGGGGTGAATCCAGACCCAAGACTAATGGGAGCAGAGTTGGACAGACCGACAAGTTACATCTAGCCAGGTCAGAACACTGTCACAGAGCTCATCTTAAAGGACTTAATACTCTCTGAGAGGATTTTTCTTCAGGGATTCCTTAAGCGTGCTGTTTGTCTTTGCGATCTAAGATATCTGTGTATCTTTACAATGTAGATTTAGGACATGCCGTGTGTACAGTATGTCCAAATGTGCCTCAGAGAAAGTCTGTTTTGTTTTTGTTGTGCTATCTCAGAGTTGATAACATCTCTGGCTGCCATAAATATTGAAGTGAGGAAATAGTTCATCTGGAACTATCTTCCACAAATCCTTGCCATAATAAGACTTTTTCTGTTTTCAGTAAGTTTATTTTGTAATAACCTTAGGAATGGCACAATGGCCAAACAATAAATGGATAAGTACTTTTAGTAATATGACCATTACAGCGTGCTAGGACATCTAGTCTGATCCTCTGTTACACTAACTCTTATGTTCCTTTTGCTTTCATCTACAAGCTTCTGCTTGTAGGAGCAACTCTTTATTTCTCAATTGGAAACAATTGTCAGAAGTGAACATACTCAGCTAGCCTTCCCTGACTTTACTCTCAGGCTTTCCCATTCTTCCACAGACATAAATCCATGTTCCACAGGAAAAAGCAGATGGTGTACATAACATTTCTCACTAATCTTTTCATCGTTCTTGTTGCTGGACAGTCAAACTTAAAATATTTAATGTTGAAGTGGCTGGAAGACTGGCTATAAAAATAAATAGCTCTATAGCCCTTTCAGTTCTTCCGGGAAAAGTAAACATTTGCATAATTCACCTTTAAAACTGCTGTACAGCTGGAAATTACAGCTTTGGGCTGAAATCTGTGTTGCCCAAGAGTAGATGGGGAGTAAATCTATAGGGGAGAGTGGATAAAGATAACTGGTATTGAAAGGAGGATCACCTGCTTTACATTGTGCTTTTTATTGCCATTTGTGATACCAGCCTCACTTTAACAGGCTATTCTAGCTAGGTCTAGCAAATGAAAAGTAGGTTTGGAAAAAGGAAGTGAATGGAATTCCAACAGCAACAAATACATAAATACAAGACTGGGGAAAAATGTGTACGACTGTGAAAAGCTATATATGAGCTGGCATATATTTTCCATGAAACCTCCTGAAAACATTTAGCCCCATTTGAAAGTGTGGTAGATTCTCTTTGATAGCTGTAATGGGATCTGTAGTAGTTGCAGCCTAGTATCTAGCAACAAACACAGTTGGTCCTGTGTGGTGGGAAGTATCCACAGAATCTGTGCATACAGAAGTCACAAGCAGTGCAGATATGAAGATTCCCAACCCAGCATAGCAGAGTCACCAAACTGTATGGAAAGAGGAGAGCACTCACAAAGACCATCCATTGCCATAACTGCTTAGTTAGTTTTGTAATTAGATTGTGTGATTAAATTAGATCCATGGTGGGAACCCCTTGGCTGAAGCAAATTATACTGGAAAATACAGGCCATATTTTACATCTGGTTTGTTTGGAGTGATACCAAAGGAAAGAAAGGGATGCTACAGATTCTTCCAGTCTTTGTGTGCCACAGAACTTAATTCTGACCAAGGGAAAGGGAAAGTCATGGTCCACCAGTTTTTCCTTTCCTATTCTAGCTACAAGCACACCATAGCCTTCCACAGCAGTTGTTTTTATCCAGTGGATTTCTGTGCTCTTGGGGCCTTCTGTTTAAAGTGAAGTTTCCTTGAACAGAGAAGTGTAGAGGCTTTATTCCATCCTGCTTCTCTGCATGGCCTCATAGTAATTATGGTAACATGGCCTTTAATGTTTACTCCCCAGATGCTGATGAATGCCAACTCTTTGGACAAGAAATCTGTAAAAATGGCTTCTGTTTGAATACGCAGCCAGGTTACGAGTGCTACTGCAAACAAGGCACATACTATGACCCTGTTAAGCTCCAGTGCTTTGGTAAGTTTATTTAAAGTGGTCTTGTCACCATAATGGTATGCAGATGGGCAAAACAAGCAAAGTTGTACAGCAGGATTCTCATCAGAACTGCAGTATTCCCAGCAAGGGGAAGAACACTGGGCCTCCAAACTCCTCTAGCAGCTTTTTAAGAGGCAT